TTCGTTTTTAAGCAGTTCTCGAGACTATCAGTCGGCATCGTCAATTAGTCTTGCCATTCTCAGCACCCAGTGACAACTGGCCAAAAAGACAGAGGTTGAAATTAGCTTATCTCTTTTAAGAGTTGTGGCTTATTACTAAGACTGCCGGGGCTCATTTACGATGCCAGCAAAACGTTTTGGACTGTACGTTCTGACAGGAGATTTCGAACAAAGCTCAATCATATGAATCACTTGACGACATGACAGAATTGCGAAAACGAGGTCAGACCACTTCTATACGGCAAAGAGAGACTGCCACCAAAACAGATGCCACACAATCTGGATATTCATATGATGCTTTTGTTTGGTGTAGACCATGGTCTTACTTTTAATTTGCCTGCGAACAATAAATAACACCGAGTCCTACGTTTTGGAGTAGGTCAGTTGTCGCTAAGCCTAAGAAATGCAGCATCACACTTTCATTTTTACGCATCATCAAATTGTTCCGGGGCATTATTTTTACATAATGTGCTTGCTGCGTTAAACCAACTTTATAAGTTGCACTCGTACTGATATTTGGTATACACCAAATTGTGCCTAAAATAAATCGGGATCTTTCAGTTTTGCCTGCAAGTAGTCACATTTGCGTCCGAACATGATACACTCCTATTCCAGATCTATTTTCTAAACCTACTCAATCAGAATATAGATACACATTCGGTTGTAAGTGGCAAATATACATTTGACTTGTCGAGAAGAATCCCATTAAGACTGTGAATTGAGCCTAACTTGCTTGTGACCTTGTTTTGAGGCGAAGTTCAAACTGACGTCCATCTCGAAGGAGAAAGCCCTTCGAAAGGTGAGATCGAATGGATTCACTGACATTTTGAGGCCTTCTAGTCACCTCTTTGTGCGTATGAGATATATTTATCTTATTTCGTTTAGGTGATGAAGAAATGGTAACTGAATTTCCCCACAATAATATGAGTTGACCTTATGTTTTCATTGAATTTCACATAGCCTTGGTTCTAAAGAGATATTCTCAGTAGTTAACGTCCTGAGATTATAAGCTCCAGTGTCGCGGTTCGAGTCCCGCTGGGGAAACTAATGAGGCCTAGGCGAAGTTGAAACTGTAAGGTCTACTCATATGATTGTAGGAAAATTGAGCCACCAGTCCTTCATGACCTTAACGAAGTAGAGCGGATACACCTTATGGATATGATCTGCTGATACTCTTGAGAACCTACTTATCAACGAAAAATAAGTGCATGTTTGGCCTCATCGATAGCCTCATCATAAAATGTGATTTGGGAGACTTCTGGTTAGCCTTGAAAATCGCATCTACCATCTGACCGATCCATTGGCATCGGTGGCCGTGCAACGGAGTGTTTTTCACAACCCGGTTCTGAATTCTGTTGAGATGGAGAGGGAGGGCGCGGTGGTAAACCTGTGGTCAGACCTGGATGATAGACTCTATTGGACGGCAAGGCTAAGTGAACTTCAATTGTATCTCGAGGCCAAGTAATTTGAATGTTGTAATCCCCATACTATCTGTCCTTAAATCACAGTAAGCGACTTACTACTGATACTTTTTGATAGTAGTAGCAGTAGACTTTGTACATTCTTTTTTCTTCTATTAGTCCTTCAATCAGTTTGCATGATTCACAAGCTGGCTTGTGCTCTCATTTAGAATCTACCGATAGTTTTTAAACCCATTCAATTTCGAATAAACTAGGACATAATATTATTGAAACAGATTGTTTATTGTGTTGTGGGAAGACAAAAACTAACCCTCCAGAATAGGCATCTCCTGTTCTGCTTGCACCTCTTTAACTCACTTAGACCCTTGACAGTTCGCAATTCTCTGTTCTTTATCATTGCTCCTTTTTCTCTCACATCTTTCTTGACAGAATACAATTCGCCTTTCATTTTATTCTCCTCGGAACCCTCTTTCGCGCACCTCTTCTCTGTATCAACGGTTCGGACACGATCCAACCGGCGACTAACTATCACCACCGTTTTTCTTTGTCCAGCCGGCCTCCTTCCTTTGCTCTCTTTCTTCATTTTATGCGACCCATATTTTCGTGATGATTCAATCGTGTCCTCTTATTCGTTCTCTTAGTTCCACCGAATGTGGGTAGATACTCAGCCGGTTTGGCCGCCAAGCTTCTGGGAATAAAACTTTTTATCTAATTCCATCTTTCCACTCACATACATGACTACATCGTTCTTCGTTCATCCACTTTTATTGTCAAACTTCTTGGCAACTAATCATAATACCTCTGTAACCGATTTGATAGTGGACTCGAAATTAGAGTTTCCGAAATTTTTACCTCATTATCCTTATTAGCCTCATTCATGATCAACCTTATGCACTCTTTCATTCTTGCGGGAATAAACAACATGACAAACTGCATTCACTTTGCCCATTTAGACTAATCTTTCATTTTCCCTAACCAGTCTCTATCTTCCAACATCCTTTCCTCCCATTGTCCATTTATCTATCCAAATGTGTAGTTGTGTACACATGCCTGTCTATTTGTCTCTTGGCCTACCGACCTTGTTCAAGTAAACAGACGGGCATTAAGACCAATCTGAATGTGAATATATTGTCTTCAATAAGTTCATATTTCTAAAAAATAGTGCTATTTGGTGCCAGTAATTTGGCTTTTTAGACAAAGGACTGGAAAAAATGTTCAGTCTCGGTCGAGTGATGTTTAACCCTGGCATCTCAGCTATCCTCTGCATTTGGGTAGAAATGGTTGATACAAAAGTAAAGCGGATTTACAAAAGTCTCCTAAGATAAGATTGCTGCAAAGACTTTCATTTTGTATGGAAGTATATAATGAATAGATTCGAAGGTAAATCTCACCAGAAGACGTCGGTTGATTCGCGGTGTACGACGTTCAGGTTGATGCAGTCCACGAGACATCCTCCAACGTTTCGGGCGAAGACTATTTGAGCTTTCGTCTGTCATGGAATGAACATCATCAGAACTGGAACTCATTCTTGCAAAAACCTCAAGCCAACACTAAGTCAAGAAGGTAAGAAGTTGCATAGACCTTTCCAGTCTCCATCCAACTCTGGGTCTCATCGTCACTTTCTTCAGAGTTCGAGGCAACGTGACTTCGCAATCCGAATCGTCAGTACTTGGCTTTATCCACGAGCATCGGGAGTCCGATTTTCGTCAATGCGTCTCAGCTGATGTAGGTAGTGAGTAGGATTTCTATTTCGTTTTGAGTAGTTTTTCGTGACTTAAGTCATAGATACAAATTCTAGTCAACCTGATCCGGTCTGTTTGTCGAAGTTTGATTAACGAATCTTTCCCACTATATCATTAGTAGGCATGAGGATGTCACTTAATCTTGCCTCCCAGATGGTATACTCATCGAGACTTGACTGAATTACAGCCTCGACCTCGACTGGGTCTCATCAATACTTCTAAAGAGGATTCGAATCCAGCTAGTGCCTTGTCCCATTTCAACCTTTTACCACTTGAATGTGAATATTTTTACCTTTTAGGTGGTGAGACTAAGCGAAATTCAATGTTATCGTAAGGCTTAGTCATTTTATTGTTTTATTGTTGTCTATTATTTTATTTTCAACTATCCGTCATTCACGACCCTAGCTCTTATTTACAAACAACAAGCCAGATTTACATGAGGACTGGCAACCAGATAGTGGATTTCGTCGGTCGTCCGAATCTGTTGTCGAGTAATGAGTCAGAATGAAGTCCTAGTAATCCAGGATCCTCTGATGTTGGCTCATTCACTGACGCTAGTACTAGATTTGCAGTTCTACTTTAGTCAGTCGGTAATGGGTGATCTGTTCAGATGGTTGCACTTTTCACCACTGCTTTTTCTGGGAAGTATTTGCCGCAACTTTGATCAGCCCTGTTGGTTACATCAAATTTGCACCCAAGCTTCCAATAACAGTCAAATCGAGAGAGGCTAAGCGAGTTCAGCTCGTTAAGCCGTCTAAAGAAGTTGGCTTCAATTTCTATTTGATTGAATTACACTAAGAACGGATTAACGTCTCATTTTCATTATGACATGACTTTTCATTTGGAAGGCAAATTTCGTTGGAAGAAATTTGTGGATTGGTCTCTCTTTCTTCCAATCTAATTTTCATTCGAAGTAAAAAGTGATGTCCCAATAAATCAATTCACTAAGGATTTCTTTGAAACCCAGTTTTTCTCTTTTTCATGTTGGCTCATTTAGAAAGGGAGAATAACCCTGTCTTTTTTAAGACTGTCTTCTGGTTTCGTTTGTAAAACTGCGTTCTGGAAAGCGTTTTGGGTCACTTCGCTTTCACTCTGAGACCACTAGTATCTGTCTGTGGGGCACGGGTAGAATGCCATTTCATCAAGAGTTTTGGCATAGCACCTCATGGCTCTTAAACTTTACCCTAAAAAATTTAATATGCATTTTCTGCCCAGTTCCACATCGTTAACGATCTTTCAGTTTAGTATTCTGGAATTTGGTAGATCATCATTCCAAACGGCGTTTGTAAAATGCGTTTGAGCGCGACTTGTAGAAGCCCAAATTATAGCACAACTTTTTATTGCGAGTTTTAACCGGCCTTTCATCGGTGATGATGTCGTTTTTGTCCCGGGGCCCAGACTTCATAGTCCGGTTTTATGAGAAGAAAATGTTTCGAAATACGGCTTGATATGAGCCATCTACCTCCGGCTTGTCTCCGATATCCTTCCTTGTTTTCTCTACCCTTGCTTTTTATTCGTTTCAACCATTAGACACAGACACACAAGCACGTGCACCCAACTTTCGGCGATTTCCCTATCCACATGGGCGGATCGACTTCATGCATGCATAAATTCAGGCATCAGTGAATTAATTTTATTTATTCTTGTGGCAGTAAACACTAAAAACCAAACCGAGGATGAAATTTGTCCTTAGTCTTGTTGGAAAGCACTTTTCTCTGGTACGGAAGCGAAGATTTTCTAATCTGAACATTGACGAGCCTGGATATTTCTGAGGGTTTAGAGGGGGGAAAAGGGAGCATTAGAACTTTTGCGGGTAATGCACGCGAATCCAGGGCATGACGAGCGAGCGAGAGAGAGAGAGAGAAGCTACTTCACTTCTTAATGACGAATGTAAGTAGACGATACGAGGAGGACGAGCGAGAACCGGAGGAAAGTGTGCTGTAGGAACGAGCAGAGCAAGTGGAGGAAGAGACAGGTTGAGATTGAGAGGCAGTGATAGGTAGAAGGAAAGATGTAGTGACAGAGAGATAGAGAGAGAGAGAGAGAAATGGAGAGGAGGAGAGAAGGCATCATCGAATGGACTGACTGAGTTGAGTAGACCGGGGCTAGGCAGAGACAAACATGAGGAGAATAAGATGAAGTAAGGAGAGGAGGATAAAGTAACTGCGACATGGCGGCATGTAGCAAGACAGAAAGAAATACATTTTGTAGAGGTCGATTTATTCTTTCGTCATCTCTAGATAGCGGCCAACCCCATGCCACCTTACCATCGCTGAACGCTCGGGTTCCCGCTAAGATAAACCATCTTCTTCGATTTTCACATTAGGACTTTTTTTGCCATACTTCGTTGCAGATAGCCATCTTCCCCCTCACTGAATGTCTTCGAAGGAAATGGGTAGGATTCGAATTTGGGATGAGCTATCTTTTAGGGTCCGAGTTTTCTGCTCACTCTGTGCACACATACACACCCACACACGTTAATTTCTCTTCTCTAGCCCTCAAACACTCTTAAGCTTCGTTCATTCAACTGTTGCCACGAGTGCACCAAAAGATTGTCAGGATGAGCTGTGTAAAAAAGAAAAGAGGGGATCTTTTAGTTTCGCTTCTCTCCCATCTATCCTATATTTATCATCTTGTGTTAGAGAAGTAAGTTGATCTCGTTGTCGCAACTTGGTCTAGTTGTCAGGGCGATTTAGTAGGACGCACCTAGTCCGAAGTCGTCTGCCATAGTAGTTGTCATGATTCCCAGCATCAGAAAGTGGACTTGGTA